AATCTGCAAAAGTTTTTTTCAGCATGCAACAACAAAACGGGAACTGATTCAACCAAATTTAGACCGCATAAAGATGATTTAGCTGTTCAAGGGATAAAATTAAAGTTTGGCGGAAACAGCCATAATTGTGCATTTGTGTTTTCGTGTTTCTGTAAATTTCTCTTCTTTTGTTGTTGTTGAATTTAGCACTTTACAGGTAACCTACCAGTATGTCAATGTTCTAAAAACTGAATAGCAATCTGTTTTTGTGTTCTGATGAAGACTTTATAGCCGGAACGTTCATTTTATCGGTTGTAATCGGGATTTTATGGGGAAGCTGGCCGTTTCCCCTTCTATTGATCTTAGTACTTTTTTCCCCACTGCATTTTTAGTTGTACTGCATTTTAACACATTTCACTACTCTTTGGACCGAATACAGATTGTCCACACGTCCTGTCCGCGTGCAGGAAAGCTCTAGGTCAAGGCCGTTAAACCTGGCGCCACAACAAGGTGCTAAAGGAGTTAGCAGCCGTTGTCGACCAGGCTAGAATGAGGGCTAATGCCAGAGCCAGTTCTAGTATCGTCCCCATTCGTTTCCTCAAGGCTGGGCAGGTTCCAAAAGGTAAGGTCAACCAAAACGCATTCGCTCCATCTGTGCTAGACTCTGCGAGGGACTGGTTACTGGCGGTTGATCTGCCAGGCCATGAACGGTATCCCGAGTTGATCCGTAAAACCGGCCTGCGACCGGACATCGTTCTCCATTCTGCGCAAAAACGGCAGCTCATTCTAATTGAGTTGACTGTCCCGTTTGAGTCGCGTATGGAGGAGAATCATTTGTACAAGCTCGAGAAGTACAGTGATTTAGCAGCCGGTTTGAGGAGAAACGAGGCTTACACAGTACGGGTATTTGCCGTCGAAGTGGGAGCGAGAGGCCTTGTTTCCACTTCGCTCTACAATGTGGTGAAAGAACTAGGATTGCGCGGTAATGAACGGAAACGGACACTCAAAAAACTGGGAGAGGCAGCCGAAAGGGCCTCTAGCTGGCTTTGGACGCAGCGCAACAACGTAGGGGACGGGCCTCGGTGAGCTGGTCCGGGTGTCTAGCGGAAAAGAGTTTCTCATCCCTTTGAAAGTCCATCGTGTCCGAATTGTCTGCCAGTGTTCCTCTGCCAACTGCTAATATAAGTCCAACATGTGTCCGGTAAACCAAAGTAAGCTTGTCGCTCGGTCGTCCAGGCATGCGGACTGTTCTAATTACGCTGCCGCGGCGGCTTCTTATCTCACAGTACCTCCTTCGAAACCACCAAGTCGTCTTGTCTCTGGCCGAAAGTATAACACCATCCGGTAATTCCGTGCAGCGGGAAACCAGCCCTGAGCGTCATGAACTCAGGAGGGCCCACCTCCGAATACGTCTAGGAATCGTGGGCCGAAACGTGTGTCGACGAGGATAATTTCTACTGATGACTGGTAGATTCCCGCTGTAATTGCTCCCTGTGAGTTTATTCCTATTGGTAAAGCTCATTTTCTATTATTATCAAATACATGACAAAATTGTTACAGTGCTTTTATAGCCTACATAATAGTATTGACTGAGTTTCTATGGTGCCTTCCTTGTTTATGATTTCTTTACGATTGGCTTCATTGTACCGGGTTTATAACACATGGCAAGGTCTCTCTCTGCAGAACACTACCGGTCTACAAAGAGCGTAGTGCAAAGCACGAACTCCTTAGTTCCGGCTACGATCCCTAAGAATTTCCGTAAACATTGCAAAGCTGAACGGAACGACAGCAGTGAAAGAACCGTCCACTTTAAGAGAGTGATGCTAACGGTTTGAACACTGTGTGTAGATGAGTGTATATATTTACTTTTACACACACACACACACACACACGTATATATATATATATATATATATATATATATATATATATATATATATATATATATATATAAGTGTCTGTGTGTGTGTATGTGAACGTATTTGGTATGTTTGTATGTATGCATATGTACATGAGTGAGTGTATATGTGTTAGTAGTATGCGTATGAGTTTATGTATATCTGAATGTAGGTATTATACATCTAGCCTGAGTTGTTTATGTGTTCATATTATGTATTGTTCTAGAAACACAACATGCCTTATAGATAAAATACAAATGATGAGAGGAAGATGAGTGGAAAGGCTGAATGTACGGCAGGCCAGTTTTTGACCCTTCTAAGATTAAAGTTCGTTGGCGTTAACTAGGTTGCTGTCTGTCAAGCTATTAGAACCAGATGTCGTGGAATGGCCGTAATCATCCCTACACTTTGGACTATTCGTGACTCTGGCGCCCCTAGCGGCGAGGTCACATTCAAATATAGACCCGTCCGGTTGGTATATAGTCTATTTGTTCTGAGTCTCTTGAAAGGTCTACATTTTCAAACTTACAGTTGTAGGTTAGAGATTCTTTGGATTATTTTTCTTAATCCGAGGAGACGATTTACGACCTCGGCGTAGGGACAGCGCACTATTTCGGTAAGAGTGACGCTACGACTTTCCCTCTCATTCGCTGCCCGTCTATTAAGTAGACCAGAATCATATCTTTGCCTGTCAAATTTGTACTAGGAAAAGGCGCCTTTTGTGTCTATGAAATTTCATAAAGCTTGGGTAAGTCTATTATAGTTTACGAGTACCATGATAAATGTATCTATATATTTATCCCGTTGCTGAGAAGAGGGATGATTGGGCTATGAGACATTACAGAGCGGGACCGTTCTTGGTGTCCAAGTGCGCACGGCCAACTAAATCGAAATTTACCCTTTTCAAGCTGAGAGTATATGCTCTGCTAAACCCAGCATTCGTACCAATGACTTAATCTGGCAGTCCAGTCGTTCCATAACTAACTAGTTGTGAAAATACAGGGCGATCTAGGAGCTGACAGAATAATTGGGTCAGCACGCAGTTTCACCAGGCAGAGGGGAACACACACAGTGACGTCGGGGGATATTTTTAGGTTATCTCAGGCACACTGTGGAAACCTATGGGGGACTGGAGTCAACTTTTTGAGAATATAGTAAACAGGGTTTTGTGAATAGTGGTATGTGTAACTACAGGTGCAGATATGGATGTAGAGGGATAGCGTTCTCTGTCGGAGAGACTTCTGTCTATCTCCCTTTGTGGGACTTGTCTCATGTCTCTTTTACTGACTGACTGACACAGGTACATGGAGGCTACTACTGTCTCATTATCCTCAGAGCTGTCCTCTGAGTGATTACTAAGTGTGAATAAAAATAACATGAGCTAGGCATGTGAACTGTGATATGACTGCTAATTCTGAGTTCCTTCTTATCACAAGATGGTATCTCCTTGGAAGCCACACAGTCAGCAGTTCACAAATCCACCAGCATGGAAGCCATCAACTTGTAAGCCAGCTTGTAGGTCAGGTTGTAAGCCAGTTTGTTGGCATCAGCTTGCAAGCATCAACTTGTACTCCACCAGATTGTAATCCACCAGCTTGTCAGCAGACATTATCATTGGTGATGCACCTTCACCATCCCTTTGTCCAGCAGTTGTTCAGGGCTACCAGTAACAGACTTAGTCCTAGAGTATCCTCTCAAGGAGCTTGTTTGTGCCCACAGTGATCGAGAACAGAGGGTTTGACACTCTTCATCATATCAACAGTGTGATTGAACATTCCCAAAAGAGTCAGCCAGTCCAAGTAACTATGAAACCAGATGAGTGCAGTGGACCAGACGTGTAACCAGATAAGTGGCATCAGTCGATGGTTCAGTGTCACGCTTTTCTATTAATGGTCCACATGTTCACTATGATGAAGTACGGCTGCCTCTGGGAATCTCTAAGAGTACCAGTCAGGTATACTGTGCTTTTGGTCTCTCATCATTCTGGTTGTTCTTGAATTCCTTTTGCTGGACTCTTATATGATGTATATGTTGAATTTATTACATGTCTTTGGAATTTTTTAATATTGAAGTTAGTGTCCATCCTTCATTGTTCGTACCTGTCTGGAGTGTGTGTATTAATATATTCGATCATATTCCATGTTAACATGACTATGGTAGTAAACTATCATAGTCTGGGGGGTATTTTCTTGTATTACTGGGGATGTCCGGCCAAGTTGCGCCTAGGAATATATACATTATGTAGTGTAATAACTTGCTTTTCCCCACCCCTGAAATAGGTTGGATGTGTATATTGGCCGCGGGATACCGCCTAGACCAATACGAGCCGACATTCTAACATTTATACTATTTCAAAATGCTGTTGATTCATTAGGAGAAATCCTTAATCAGGCACGCGACACGAGCGGCATGTGACACCAGAATACTTTCAACAGTATGCAATATTATATGTGATTACTCATCATCACGTGACGTGAGCGATCATAATTCGCAATCCATTATCTTGAATTTGTTCAGCGTTGTTTTTATGTTTAAAAAAATACACACCTAAAAACTGTAGTTTTGTCATTATCTTCTAGAATTTCAATTTGCCTTGATTTTGACCTAATCATATTATCATGTCTTTTTCTCCCCCTTCCATGCACAACCAGTCTTGACTGTGAAGATTAGAACTTCTATGATAAAATTCAGTTGTGCTTTCGGTTCTTGAAGCAGACGACAGATTATGAATTTGTGAGCCAACTAACAGAGTATGATCTCGTAACCAAATTTTTTTTTTTTTTTTAACGCTGCTTTTTGGTTTGTTTGTTTGTTTTCTTTATTGGTACTCTGTGGTATTCATTACTGGCACCTTTATTTAGGGTATCAGTTCTCTACAGCAATACCGTAAGAGGCAATATGTTATCAGCTCCAGTACCATACTCACTTGGTTGTGAGTATCTGTATACAGATTTTTTTTTCTTTAAAAAATACTGATTCCTTACATATATTATTAGCACTATTTACTTTTTATTAATTATTGTACAGTGCCGTTGAATGTTATTTCTTTGCAGTTATTTTCTTTCTCATGAGCAATTTCTTTTTTAAAAAGCGCTTGTGTAATTAAATCCAACGTTGTTGTAGGTTTCCTCTGCGATAACTTAGGGTTTCCGTCTGTTTGTTTCTGATTTCAGTGCTCTTATGATTCTATATCCAGTTTGTCTCAGTACATTGCCATCTTTCATCTCTTAGAAGTGCTATATCAGCGGCTGTTCACTTTATAATATATTATTACGAGGTATTAAACATATCGAAACTCTCACCTGGACGAGGTCCCGAAAGCTGTAGCCAAGGCCTGAGAGATCCCGTAGATAAATGTGTAAGGGTTTTTTCTCACCATTATGAAGTAGAGGAACGGCAGGAGAATTGACCCATGGATGGCCAGGCCAATGATGACTGTGACAAAGTACATGCCTACTTTCCCCAGTAGAACTGAGAAATCTTCCATTTCTACGATTTTTGCTGCGATAAGGAAAGCAATGCCGATTGGAGAGTACCTGGTAATACAAAGGCGAAGCGAAACTTTTATTCATGAAACAGACAAACAAAACAGTTACATTAAAATATTGTAGCTTATTCTTCTTCTTCTTCGAGTTCGCCGGTGAAAATTTGTTTCATGCAGACTGTTGGTTCCTTGTCTCTCAAGCAAATGTACGAGTTCAAAGGAAGCTCCCAATTAGTCGACTCTTACCACATGCTTTTGGGTAGGCAGTGGGTCTGTTCTTGTTTTCCTCACAATGGGGCCGCAGATATTATAGCAATTTGATTATTCATTCATTCAGTAGCCTATTGTTTTATTATATGTCTCACAGTGCTTACAGTCCATTTATCCATTCTGCTCTATTCTGTGCAAACACTTTGATATCATAGATCCAACGCAGCACACTTGGCTTTTCTTATCAGCGTTTACCTTTGACAATGTGATAATACTACATTTATTTTTCACTTGTTTTATTTGCTTTGCTTAGGATCTTCCAATCATTTCAATTAACTCCATTTGTCTTGGGAAGTAAAGGCGATCGGTGTGATATTTACAACATAGTTCAAATTAGTGTACATATTTGGGTATAGCACCATATATCTAGTGCCGTAAAGACTTGAATATTTCCTTCAGGTACAGCTACGTGCTAAGACAAAAAAGTCTTTTACCCGCATCAGACGAGGGTAATACCTGTTTCGTAAGCACGTAGTGAGAAGGACACAATAGACTTCATTGTAAGAACAGGAAAGTTGGTTGATCCTCCACCCCCCCCCCCCCCCCCCCCCCCCCTTTTTCTTTTCATTTTGGGGAAACAAGAATTGACGCACTGTCCTTTAACAAGCATGTTCGTAAAAAGCGACTAATTAGGGGTCTTTGAAGTCGGAGTGCATCTGCCAGCGAAGCAAGGAGCCAGTGTGCATTACGAATACGCCAGAACAGTATAACGGATGAGCACACAAAACTGAAGTTCTAGTAGAAAAAGTCGAGAAATGGACGAACAACCAGAACTGTCTGCGACAGTTTACAGATGGTGATTGCTAAGAAGAAGAAGAAGAAGAAGAAGAAGAATAAGAAGAAGAAGAAGAAGATGAAGAAGAAGAAGAAGAAGAAGAAGAAGAAGAAGAAGAAGAAGAAGAAGAAGAAGAAGAAGAAGAAGAAGAAGAAGAAGAAGAAGAAGAAGAAGAAGAAGAAGAAGAAGAAGAAGAAGAAGAAGAAGAAGAAGGCGATGATGCTGATAAAGGATGGAAATGACGGATGGAACTGAAGACAAATAGTTAAGAACAAGAGAAACAATGTTAGTTCTGGCATCATATGATAGACGCACATTTGTATAAACATGGCAAGCAGGATTCAAGAAATACGACGATTCCAGATCATCAAGTTTTTTTTTTTTTTTTTTAGGGGCTCACTGAATTGCATTCAATTCTCTTATTACCTACATAGTATTTTATATGATGAAAAACGGTCAAGAAACTATCTGCCTGTACACCTGTATAATCATCATCATCACTATCATCCCGTAACACTACGTGTCGTTGGGTCACCAGTTTCTGTTGACTGTCTGATCAGATCTCCCGACCTTTGACGGTCAGTTGCGATGGACTTCATGGTTGCATGCTTGAGGCCTGTCGTGTCAGTCAGGTTCTGTAACCAGGTCCTTCTTGGTCTTCCTCTTCTCCTCTTTCACTCCGCCTAGCTCTGCAGTATTGTTTTTGAGAGGCCGTTAGACCTTATTTCATGTCCATACCTTTGCATTTTTTTTTCACGTTTTCAATGTAGTTATAAGAGGTTCATAGTTTCCAACATGCTGTATAATTTTATGGCAAACCTCTTCGTTTGTAATGTGGTCTCTGTATGATATGGCAAGAATCTTTCTAAATCATCGCATTTCTAATGTTCGTATCTTTCTTTCCAGTTCATCTGTTAAGGACCTGTTTATCATATATTATGAATCATCATTGCGGTTTTCATAGGTAACATTTTTTTTTAATTTTAAATGTAACACGAACTGTGGTCTACTCGGTGTAAGGTTTTAGTTTACATACAGGAGTATTTTTACGTTTCGTTCGTGCTTAGAGGCCCGCCAAATTTTACACCGGTCGCCTAGAAGGCAATACTTCTCAAAAAAAAAAAAAAAAAACCTAAAACTACCTCTATGTTATAAGTTTCTTAGGACAGTATGACCAGAGTATGAGTAATATCTTGTTACTGAGAATTTAGAGCCGCTTAGCTCCTCTTTTAAAGACTGTCCGTAAAGGTTTTAACAGGTCATAGCTACTGTGGAGGGCAGACAGGCCATAGGTATTCTGAATGCTCTACGAGAAGTAAGATGTTTGCGAGAAGCAAGTGATGTCTGCAAGTCTGCAACACTAACCAGACTGCAAGAACAACATGTAAAACAAGTTGTGGTCACACAAAACCACTACGCAGGAAGTTAAGAAAGAATAAGAAACCAACACAGAACTGGTGTCGTGAGCCGCTACACGCTTCGGCATTTACTGAGGAGTTCGCGCCAATAATTGCATACATTTTTATAATATTGTAGAGGCTGACCTTGACGTCTTTACAAATCTGTATTTACTCACTGAGAATTTCTTTATGGACTCTACCATCATCCAAGTGTGTCATAGCTATCACCTTTCCTAGACTGAGCATGGAGAAATTTGAACACACACACCCCCCCCCCCCCCCCCCCCCCCCCCCCCCCAAACCTTTCCAACTCGTCAGTGTTTGGAACCTTGTCTTGCCTTTTAGAGCAAAGTACTCTTTCTAGAGACATCGCTCGTGCATGATATTTATCGTTCTCTTATTGTTCAGTTAAGTTGACAAAGTTTCACTAACAAAACGACGAGTGCTTCACAATGATATTACTGAGTTACTTATTCTGACGCTGATTTCTTGCTTTGTCCAGGGACAGTCTATTCGACTATGGCCAGGTTATTTAAAAAGATCAACTGTCTCTAACTCTTTGCCCTCAGCGAAGGCTATCATTAGCACCTTGCGCCATAAACTGGTTTTTTTAATTTGTTTTTTTTTTTTTTCATTTTTCTGATTCTTAGCTCACATTCTCAAAAGGCGTCAGCAAATGATGATAGGTTACATTGCAGGTCCTAACATGAGTCTTGCATAACTGCATAACCATCTACAAAGAGAACATTTCTTAAAAGAACCTTAATAACTATGTTATCATTTAACAGCGTGTTTAATTTAGCAAGTTACAGACACCGTACCAGTAAAATACAATGAATAGAACCACATCCATACCGTTTAGACGCAAACGTCTTAACCTCTTCCACCCCCCCTCCCTAAACCCCCTTCTTCAAGCCACTTTTACCACAGTAAGAATTAAATTATTAACATTTAGAAAAACTCACCACAAAAATACAGTGAACAGTCTCATTGTCACCTCAACCAGACAGTCACAAAAAGCCAGAATGGGCTTTCCTCTTTCTCCCATTCTGCCAAGCATGACTCCGAAAAAGATGGAGAACATGACGATTCCCAGTACGTTTGGTTTGCCCGTTCCTCCATCTTTTAACTCTATGTTGTACCTTTTCTCAGCTTGCACTAAAGAGCAGAAAAAGTCCAACAGCATAAAACCATTGCTAGTGCTCTATATTCTGTGTACATATCTACTAGTGGGTATTACGCGTGAGCAAGTTCACACAGATAAATTAACTCTTAGTGTTCCATTTAACGTGGATATAGCTAGCAGTGGCTTTTAAACAAAGATAAAAGCCCAAAACGTGTATATCTTAGGTTTCCAATTAAAATAGGTGTATTTTTTAGCGTGGTCAGTAAACAAAAGATTATATTCAAAAGTCGAAGCGCATCTGCCTGAGAGGCAAGGTACCAACAGTCTCCACACAAATGTGTCAGGTCTGTCAAACGGATGTACACGCAACATCCGGTTTTGGAACATAACTACAGTCCAGAAGTGGGGCAAAAAAAAACAGCATTTTTCACCAGAATTTACAGCTGGTCGACGCAAAGAAGAAAAAAGAAGAAGTTTAAAACGTCTATATCTTATATTTGAATTTCACGTGAAGACAACTTTTACAAGGTGTCTGAAAACATCAAGTTATGGATGAACGGCAGCTAATGGAGTAATGGTTTTAACAACAGATCAACATCATGGTGCACGAGTGGTAACCTATAAGTTCTTCGTTATATTTCTAATTCAAGCCTAAAATTTCAACTCAGTAATATTTTGCGCACCTGGTTAACTCCACATTTTGCGAGGGCAGCGCCGTTACGAAACTCTTTTCGATTTCCAACTGCCAGGGGATTTTTACGTGCGCAACAATACACACGGGCGTCTGATCTTACTACCCAGAGACCAGAAGGAATAGTAGAAGTGCACGTGAAAAAAACCCCAACCTTCACCGGGGCGTGAAACAGCTGTAAGGAAGATTACCACTACACGGACTAAAATGTAGCGATAGTTGAAAACAATTGCCACCAACTTTAATTGTGGGAGGATAATTGATTGCTTTATTTTTATTCCAATCGCTTTATACTTTTTTTTTTTTTATGAATTCATCAGATGTGGCTAAATAATACTAGCAACATACGAAATGGAGAAAAGGTAAAACAGAATGTAAAGATGCTACAAAAGTAGTTAAGCAAAAAGCGTGAATACATAAACAAATTGTCAGAGATATGGAAGCTAACCATCAGAACAGCGAATCCAGACTTTTTTTTTTTTTACTTCCATCGATACACCTCCAGGACCCTAACGGACCAAGGGTTATAATATGTTAAGTCGATAATATTAAAATCAAAAGAACGGAAACATATAAGTACTTAGGTGCACATTTTAACTGCTCCAACGTGCTTAGAATAAGAAGAAACTCCACAGGAGAGCATGTACAGCAGGGGTATACCAATCGTCAGTAGAAGTAACCTCTCGTCGACGAATGTTTCGGCCCACTAGCACCTATACATTTTCCACCTGATTTCATGAAGCTCAGGGTTGGTTTCCCCTACTGCAGGAATTACCGGATGTTATTCGGACAGAGACAAGACGAATTGGTGACTTTGCAGAAGGTACTGTGAGAAACTTAGAGTGCAGATAAAAGTGGTGACAGCTTATTACACATTTCATTAAACAGGGTCATAACGAAGAATCTTTGGACACATCGAAGATGGAAACAGCGGGGAATACAGAGTGAGAAGCAACAACAAATTTCATAATCTGAATCACCATTGATCACTGGCATCATGAGGGCTAATAGACTGATATAGCTGGGGCAGAGAGGTTAAGATCCATACAAAAAGGACATGAATGGCCGTAGACGACGAGGCAGACGGAGAAGCTTTGTAAAGATAATATCCAGACCACCCGAGGGAGTAGTCGTGGCGTAGCTGCTAGACGCTCGCCTCGGATCGGAAGGTCGTGGGTTCGGTCCCTGGCGGAGGCGGCCTCTTTCAAAAACGACCTTGACTCCCAGGTCGACGTAGTCTTGAGTGGATACCGGGTGCAGTCTCGGGAAGTAAAAACGTCCGGTGTAATGCTGACCACATCACCCATCTTGTGCCGATTGGTCTATAAAAATATAGGTCTAGCCCTATATGCCCTCAAGGCGTGAAAAGGGGACCTTTACTTTACTTACAGACCAACTGGAAAGAGTAGGCCTACCAGAGTGATGAATGGAGGCGGGTGATATCTGCAGCAATGAACCTCAAGGGCACGGAATGCTGCAGTAGAAGAAAATGAATCTGTAACATTGCAACGATTGAACTAGCCGTGTATCCTTTAGGCATTCTGGATCCTGACTTTACATGCTCGCCACTCCCATTCTGACAACTAAAATAAACAAGAATATATTACCAGTTTCATTTGATGTCTCATTGAATATCGAATGTGAAGTCTCATTAAAAATCGATGTCTGATTGATGTTGGGCAAAGTCTCATCTTCGTATAGAATTTCCGTAACCGTCTCTTTAGTTCGATACTGAAAATAAATACGTTTGATAATAGTTTATATAAATATTATTAACAAATTCAGATTTCGTGCAATAAATTGTTGTTCATTGTTAACTAGTTGTGATACATTCTAGTATGTATGGTAGGGAGAAGCAATAGAAACATGCATAATCTGTTTAAATCAGCACTAATTAATGATTGCTTGAACACTAGTAGACTGCAATGATCCGGGCATGTATAGACAATGGCATAAGACTGAAAGTAACTGTATAAATAGAAACATTTGAGTTTTGAGCGTCGGCTAGATCCCCTGGAAACTCCTCGCAGGGCCGTTCTCCTTATGCCGTAATGATCTTTTCGTGCCTACATACTTTTCACTTGCTTCCATGTGATCTGCAATTTGTGCCTACGGGAGGGGCGGGGGGGGGGGGGTGTTGTTGTTCAGCACCCTTAAATTTTTTTTTCCCAGGGAAGGGGCTGAATTCCCAATGTTGGCGCCCCTGTCACCAAGGTCCTTTGAATGGGGAATTCAACACTGCTCAAAATTAATGCAGTACCGACGCTTTGAAAACCGGAGTATGACAAAAGCAGTGCCAGTGCCCTAGAAAAAGAGGTATAACAAATGCAGTACCAAAGCCTTGAGAACGGGTCATAACAAAAGTAGCACTAACACCGTGAACACAGAGTATAACAAATGCAGTACCAAAGCCTTGAGAACGGGTCATAACAAAAGTAGCACTAACACCGTGAACACAGAGTATAACAAATGCAGTACCAAAGCCTTGAGAACGGGTCATAACAAAAGTAGCACTAACACCGTGAACACAGAGTATAACAAATGCAGTACCAAAGCCTTGAGAACGGGTCATAACAAAAGTAGCACTAACACCGTGAACACAGAGTATAACAAATGCAGTACCAAAGCCTTGAGAACGGGTCATAACAAAAGTAGCACTAACACCGTGAACACAGAGTATAACAAATGCAGTACCAAAGCCTTGAGAACGGGGCATAACAAAAGTAGCACTAACACCGTGAACACAGAGTATAACAAATGCAGTACCAAAGCCTTGAGAACGGGGCATAACAAAAGTAGCACTAACACCGTGAACACAGAGTATAACAAATGCAGTACCAAATCCTTAAAAACGGGGCATAACAAAAGTAGCACTAACACCGTGAACACAGAGTATAACAAATGCAGTACCAAAGCCTTAAAAACGAGGCATAACAAAAGTAGCACTAACACCGTGAACACAGAGTATAACAAATGCAGTACCAAAGCCTTAAAAACGGGGCATAACAAAAGTAGCACTAACACCGTGAACACAGAGTATAACAAATGCAGTACCAAAGCCTTGAAAAAAAAGGGGCATAACAAAAGAAGCACTAACGCTTTGAAAACGGGATTTAAGAATTTATGCCGTCATCTGCAAACGATATCATAAAACATATATTGGGTAAGCTGGTAGGAAGCTAGCAGATCGCTTCCATGAACAATTCTCGGACATTCGTGATAAGGCTCTTATACCTGTCTTCCTCCATTTCAACAGTTCTGACCACGAAAAACAAAAACGACAAGTCAGTCACTGCTATTAAATTTTGCTCCGATGATCAAACCGACCTCTACTAATTAGAAAATCTTTCATTCCTAGTTTGAGCGTACTAGTCCTGGAAGGATCAGTATTCAACACAGCTTGTATTATTTTGATTAATTTATTTGTTTATTTTTTAAACTTATATTTCAAACCCTCTTTTTTTTGCATTCGCCATCTCACTTATTTCGTTTCGTTTTGTAGCCCTTCATATTCATATTACCCCCCCCCCCCCCACCCCCTCCCATCCATTACTTACTTCTTGGTTTCACGTTGACTTTGATTTTCTATAAGCTTTGTTGTCTTGTGTGTTAAGTTTCGAGTCACAGTTGGTACTGTATTTAGGACTCCGTTGATAAAGACACACAGGACGCGACAAGAGCACTGACATGATTAGTGATTATACTGACCGTGTAGGATGGCGAAGCATGACCGCCTACAGTTATCGACATGGCACATCATGATAGTGTTAGGGAAAAGGGACGCTGAGTGAGTTTGTTTATATTTGTGTGTGTGTGTGTGTGTGTGGAAAGAGAGCAGTTGGCCAAAAAAGATTGATTTAATCAGTAGAAGAAGCTCTATTCTTCTTCTTCTTCTTCTTCTTCTTCTTCTTCTTCTTCTTCTTCTTCTTCTTCTTCTTTTTCTTTGTTTTTTTCACCGACTGTAAACTCCGGCGGAAAGTTCTGATTTGTCGTCCACTCTTGGATTTGGTTTTGATCCAGAAGTTGAATTTTGCGTGCTCACCTGTTGTACAGATTGGACTTTTTTGTTTGCATTGTGCTGGTTTCTGTCTCTCAGGGAGATTCACTCCGACTATGAAGGAAACATCAATAATTAGTCGCCTGCTGCGACATGTTTTTTACGGGCGGTGGGTCTGTTCTGTGTTCTCCAAAGCGGAGAAGGAAATAATATTGTTTGTTCAACAATTGATAATTGACAATTGCAGGTAGTCATAAAGTGCTGCAGGCGAAGTCATATATCAGGGTAGCTGCAGACACAGACCACCCTTGCACGAAGCTCTGGGTGCAGTTAAGGGTCAGCGGCTGATAAGAGGGAAGTTATGGATGGCTCAGGCAGAAGACGCAATCAGACAGGTTTACATCCTTGAAAACATTAGGCGAGGATAGGAGTGGGTCAAAGTGCCACTTGAACTTTGTGTAGGGTCATGATCACACTCAGCCGGGAATGCAGAGAGGGGCCAGAAGGTGCCACAGAGGTGGAAATTCAGCAATTAATTCAAGATAATGCTCGCTCAGAAAATTTAATCACTTACACGGGCGGTTCAGTGTCAAGAGGCAAAAAAAAAGTGCTTAGGATTTCTTAGCAAAAGTTAGTGGTTGACGTTTGGTGCACGAGAGCCTAGCAAATGACACCACAACATCCAGCTTAAGAATGGAGGTGGAGGTGGCCACTGCAGCTTTTCATTGGCTAGAGAACACGACACACACACACACACACACTCACACACACACACACATCGTGATTGTAACTGACTTAGAAAGCATGCTGGGGAAGATCAGGACAGGCATGCTTCGTGCAGAGTGGCATGCCTCGCTGCGGAGGACACGGGTAAGAAGTATTGTCTGGATTTTTTCACCAGGAACGCTGGTGTGTTGGGAAATGAACAGGCGGACAGACTGGCTGGCTCTGCACAGCTTGGTGGAATATTGATGCCTGATTAAGCAGACGTGGTTACTGCCTTGTAGGAGAGCGTGTACAGTTTGAAGGAGCAGATGGATCACTACAGTCTGGTGAGATTCATGCAGGGGGAAGTCACGAGAGGTTCTGGCAGTTGCTCGAGGCTCAGAGGAAAAGCAAAACGGACCTTTAATCGGAATGCTACTGGCACCATTAGTATCAGAACTCTTCGCTGGCTGCTGAAGATGGGGACGGAGCGCTTTTGGAAATGCCTCGAGTGCTGTGATGTCAGTTCTCGAATCAAATCAATCAATCAAACATTTGATAAACACACTTACAAGCCAATTTTTTTAAAGTGTCTGTTAGATTGCAATGGTTGTTTGCATGCAGCCTTAGAATATGCATGACGCAAAAAACTGGTATTCTTTAGTCATTAGATATCTTTTGATCTTTTCGAACCACGGTAAATAAGTAGAGGGAACTTTTAGATTTTACAGTAAACATATAAATTTCCGGTTCTATTTTTTGTTTGTTTTTGTTTTGTTTAGAGGCGTGTCTTCATATTACATTGATAGGTCAAGTACATTTATTTGTTGTTATTTATGTTCAATTGAGCTGAGCTGAGCTGAGACAAGAAAGACGTCACGGCACTCGGGCCATTCCCATATGGTCTCTGTCCCCATCTTCAGCAGCCAGCGCAGAGTTGCAATACTATTCGTACCGGACGCATTATGATTACGTGTCCATCTTGCCTTTCCTTTGATACACCCAAGTGTATCATTCTTTCCAGACCATAACAATCTATTTTCTCTTCTGAAATCGTTACTTGTTTCTAACGGATCCTGACCACATCTGCCATGTCATGTATCAATTCAGCACCCAGTGATGCACAATCAGCCTGTCTGTCTGCGTTGTTCAATTGTAAACATGTGCCTAATATGTAACCACTCACTGAAAAAATGGTTTTAATTATTTTGAATCTGACAATCACCAAAGGGTGAAAATTGTTACTATCTGAACAAATTGTAATCCATTTCAGTGCCAGTTCTCGTCTTCCTCTCGGAGCACTTTTTCCAGAAATGAATATCCATTGTTGAGAGGAAATCACGTGTCAGAACTTTAACATCATACATTTTAAATGTACTGTTATTTTCGGCAACTTGAATTTTGACTTTATCCCAAACAAGCTCTATGGTGTTGAGATGTGAATAATATGCAACGAGTCGTAGAGAAGTGTAGCCGTATTTTTTAATGGTTTTTGTCACTGTGATACATCTTTGTCTTATTTGTTTTCCTCACAAGCTGCAACAACTCTGCCTTCAAAAATGTGTCGTAAAAGTTGACTTTTTCCTTAGCAAGCCATGTCCTCATTTGATCTTTTGTATTTGATGCCGTTGGCACTTTGTCTTTCTCTGATACAGTATTATGATAGCTGGCATTATCCATTACTAGGTATGATGGTCTTTCCAGAATTGGAAGGAGATCATTCGTCATCCAGTGCCTGAAAATGTATACATTCATATCAGTGTGGTATCCCTACTATCGGCACTTTTTGATTGGAAAAAATGTCCAGCATCATGGATATGATTTTTTCCCTGCTTCCTGCATAAGTGAGTATAATGCGCTGGCCTTTGCTCTTGGAATGTTTCTTTTCTGTTCACCGTTTACTGACTGCCATCGTGAGCATTAACCCAGGATTCATCTAAATATACAATATATAGCCTTACCTCAGCCGCTCACTGCTTTGATTAGCGATCAAACGTGGCTTTTCACAAATAATATTCCTTCTACCTACAGTTTTCCTGAAAGTGAACCAGGTGGCTCTTACAATTTTCCACTGACTACTTTTGAAATGTCAATACTGCATTGTGATTTCAATGTTAATTTCAGTTTTTGGAGAGTAACAAGTTGATTTGTCTCTAACATTTTTAAGATCTCACGTCTAATGACATCTTCATCAAAGTCGTCAACTTTCCTTTTCCTTCATTGCTTAACATGAGCGTACTTTGTGTCCAGTCAAATCCAACGGTTAAATGATGCTCTACCCAGACCAAGCGCCAATCGTGTTCTTTTCTCTGTGTCATGAATATTAGAATATAAATAACCCATTTTGATTTCCTGAGGAAATGCTGGTACAGTAAAACGGTAACCTTCTGCATAGTTATAAATTTATATCTCAAATTCATTTTGAAGCTGATGTCTATGACAGCTTTTATGAGCTAGCTATGTGACACAATAACGCAACACTGTTTTGTGAATGTGCCTTTGATTAAAAGACATTAATTAACGTCCTTTTTTGGCACCAGGTCACTTAAAGTGCGACTTTGCACGAGAAAATCGTGAAATTGCATAGGTTTTCTCTGCCCCCTGTTAAACCAGTCATAGTGTGCATTACTTGATGAAACTAATGAAAGTAAACCTTCCCAAAGTCTACCAATATGGTTTCATGATAAAAATATATGCCATACAGAAAAAAAAAAAAAACGAAACATGATATTATTTTTTTGTGAACAAAATAAAATGAGTTTTCTTAACGTCATGTATATTCTAAGACTACGTGCCCAAAAAAATCATTTCGATATAACAGACAGTTTTCTAGAAAATAGCTTGCATGTGTTTATATCTTTTGTTTAACGAACTATAATACCAAACCCTTCGTAATGAAATAGCAACACAATTTGTTGCCATAATTGTAACCGATGTTGACAAAGACGAAGCTAGCTTACTAGTCAGAGGTTTTTCTTCTTTCTTCTTTTCTCTACTCCTGGAATGCCAGGCGGCGTCAGGGCAGGAAGAGATCCCCAGAACAGGCCCTTCTGTTCGTTTCATTGTCTCGGACATTTCTGCCGTCCATATCTGCGTGGTCGACCTCTGGATCTGTTACCACTGTACCTGTATAACATTGCTCTCTGTGGTGACCTGGCTGATACCAATTTTGTTACATGGCCAAACCATTCGGTTTGTTGTCTATCTATAAAGTTCAGGACTGGTTCTATGCCGACTCTCTTCATGATATTGTACCTTAGTCGATCTTTCCTCGCTACAACTAGCGTAATTCGTAAACATTTCATTTCTGTCGTGACTTTCTATCCTTCTGTCCTCTGAAGACAGTGTCCAAGTTTGAACTTCTGAAGACAGTGTCCATGTCTGACATTGATAGCATAATTTGTAAGAATATTGTGTTGAACATATTCACTTGATTGCGTTTCAAAATCGGTGTCATTTGGCCTAAAACCTGATTGGCTTTATTGCATGTTTTCTGGATTTCTTTAAAAAAAAAATGCTTCCCAGATCTGTAAAATACTTCGCCTGCTTTTACTGGTGTTCACCAGTTTTCATACAGGTAAATTTTTTTTCTTTTTTTTTTCTGGGGAATGACATCACATCTGTCAGAGGTTGAACGTGGCTAATTCAAATCGAACCAACGAATACGTTAATATTTCTATTTATGTTAAAGAATAGTCAGGAACGAATTGGTTACATCACTAACCAAACTGACAGAGATATCTTCTGCTACCTCAAAAAAAAAAAAAAATTTACAGCTCTAAATCTTTTGCAAAGGTCAGGTTTGAGTGCTAAGAGCTAAGCATCCGCACATTTCCAGCGTTGTTTAAGTGCTACTGTGTCTTTCCCGCCTTCAGTGTTATGAAAACACATTTCTGCTAGCGATTTCATACCCGTTTGTCAACTACCCAAAGGCCACGTATTGATTCTGATATATTTGTAAGCCGGGGCTGTCTGCAAACAAAAGGGGCCGATTTAAAGCTGCCAACAGAAGGTTTGCAGTGTCGTCCGGTTACATCGATTCCGATTATTATCGTTTGACAGAAACCACTATAGATCAATGCATGTTTCTTTATTCCTTTTTTTTTTAAACTGTTACATGGTGAGTTGATTTAGCATTTCTCTTTTTTTTATTTTTTTTATTTTGGAGATGGTAATCTGGCATTACTATGCGCCTTCACAATACGATATCATTGACACAATATATAAGGACACACTTGCTTCACTTATTATGTCTTTTGTTTGAGCCGAACTATTATAGAATCATGTGTTTTCTTTTTTAAAATTATATTCTTTACACGGACTTTTCAGTAAATGAACACATAAGCTTTTATTAACTAGTCTAAGCTAGCAGACAATGTCGAATTTCTGACACTAACATAATTGCTTGACCTAAGGATTAAAGCATGGTGAAGCAGATCGTCTGGTGTTCGATATCGAGATAGGAGACATTATACTAACGCTTTATCACAGTAGACTTTACACAAATACTTTGGAGTGTATGTGCCGCATGATTTGATTGAGCCCATCTGGAAATGTTCATAATCACATAGTATTAACTACTTTAAAAAACGTAGTAAATAAGGGCAGTATAGACTATATTGCAGAAACAGTGCACGAACAACTGTGTTAAATACAGCTTCAGAGTACACATGACTGTAAAAGTGCAACTATGCTGGGTGCAGGGATCTCTTTTCTCATGGAATGTAATTCGTTTCAGAAGTCCAACTTTAAAAACATGTAACTCAGTACCAGTTTGGTGTAACTTGTTGAAACTTAGCACGCAGCCTATCAATAATCATGTCCCTGTAAGCATTTGAAAAAAAAAATGAAAACCAACATCTAGTTTTTATTTTGCCCTTTTTTGTGTGTGTGTTCCCTAAAAAAAACAAGAAACCGATTTTAAGCAAACAGTCAGCATGCTTACAGTTACTTGAGTAAAATGAGTAAGAGGAACTTTTAAAAACAGCAGATTGCAACACGCGCCATAGGCGTTTTATTCTCAGGTGGTCATCACCAGCAGAAATCTCCCGTTAGTTGTGGATTTTCTTTTTGAGTAGGGAATAGGCTATGAAAATAATCAACAGGCATCCCTGGACATGCGAATTGATTTCCAAACGTTATCCATTGTATCAGTTACCGTAACAAGTTGCTGTATATTATTTTGTCGGGGTTACATAAATTGTATTATTCAAATAAAGATAAAAAAAAAAATTGATGCTTTAAGAAAACAACAACAGCTGCGCCATTGTAAATTACAGAATCATAAAAACATGTAACATCTAAGGCTACATAAAATAATCCATGTTGATCTGATCAGGAGCTTTCGAGATATTTTTTTAAGTGTGAGGGTATAAGTTTCGAAAGGCTGTTAAATACACACATAATTCCAGGTCCACGTGGAAGGCAAGGGAAAACCAACATTATCTTCGCAAGTCTTTGTTGATCACATCTGGTCAATGTCATAGTAAAATTAATCAAAGATCGAGAACACTTGAGAGGCATAACTTGTACAGCTTCTGAGAAGACACGGTCATAAAGAGAAGGATAATAATATCCGTTGATTGTGACACCAGATAGTAACTGTTGAAGTGATCTGTGTAGTGGTACTTACCGCGTTAAAACAAGTTGCTATTAAGTTGTCTGGGAACATGTTTCTGTGGAAAAGTGAATAATATGATAAGAAATGTGACATCATCATTAGCATTGTCATCGACATTATAACCAATAATTGCTTCATCTACAGAAAGGTATATTTATATATTCCCCCCCCCCGCCCCTTTGGTGTAGCAGCTAGATGCTTGCCTTTGTATCCGAAAATCGTGGGTTCAAATCCGCATGGTACCAGATTTTGTTTCGAAAGAAGCCTTGGCTTCCAGGTTGACCCAGCCTTACATAAGTTGGTAAAAAAAGTAAAGATCCCTTTTCACGCCTTTCGGCGCATCGGTCATATGGGCAGAGCGTCCCATATTTTTACAGACCATCAGCACTCTGTGGGTAATGTGGTCAGCATTACGCCGCCTTACATAAGTACCAGGTGAAAATCACCTAAAGTATAGTAAATCCGTAACAGACTGGATGGGGTAAACCGATCAATCGATCAATCGTGTAGATTGAGACTGATATAGTACCAAAAGTTTAACACAGTGGCTGCCACCAAAGTTTACACAGATACTGCCCCAATAGTCTACACAGGCCTTATCCCCAGTTAGGTGGGTTTTTTTTAAATTTAACTTGTTGCTGTCTCACTTTACCATCACTGGCGTAGCCCCTATTTTTCAACATCGGATATCCGCATAGTTTAATAGAGGACTGTTTACATAACTAAGATAACAATTTTACAGATTTAACCACCTAATTAAGCAATGTTTTGAAAGCTATTAGAATATTAGACACTTTGAAATAATGTAAAGAACAAAAAGGAGATATAGTTTTGTTTTTCGAATTCTTGGAGAACTAATCCTCAAATACCACTTTATATACAGATTCTATTTTCCACAAAAGACATTCATTTTCTAGTTTTCTATACATCTAATTTTAGTTAGTATTTGCCAATACGGGAAACAACATTGTTATTATTTATTGTTATGCGTCATCATCTTAAAGAACTAAGAACATCTTCGGCTCCCCAAAAAACCTGTAAAGTGACAAAAGCAGCCCAGAGCTGACTAACCATAAACATGAAGCTAAAATATGCCTTTGTTTATGATTAAATGAATCATTTATAGGAAATGCTGCTAAAATGTCAAGTACTTAAAGGGTGTTTTGTGTTCATGTCATTTCACAACATTGCGCAATGGGTTTAACCTTTTTCTTATTGTCAGTTGTGTGATGTTCAGAGCTTTCTGTCTTGTGCGCCGCTGCCGACACAAAGAATTATTTGGGGTGGGAAAAACGGTTCTGGTCAGCACATTTTCTGGGGCCATCATGGATATAAGCCTTGTTTTAGTGCATAAATAATAATAATAATAGCATCAACAACGGGCTGAATGGCAAACAAATATAATAGTTTCCAGTAAAACTACCAACTCCTATGAAGGTGTGTTCACCTTGCCGAGGTAGGGGAAATTTGTGCTTTTAAACCATCCTGAGAGATATGCCGGCGTTAGCGTAGCTACCAGCAGGGCCTTCCAAGCCGGAAAGGTCAAAGGGTAGAGAACAGTCAAAGAAAGATACCCTATTCCTTCAGGTTTGGGTTACAAGCGTGGCATCGATACTAACACTATCGTGAAACTTCATTTCGACTTGAAACAGATATCTAAGTCTCGATTTCGGATGGATTTTGCACTTCTCTTTCAGCATAAAATAATCCACATACCACAAAGACACATTTCATTTATAAATATATATATATATATATTGTTACCAGAAATTGTTGATCAATTTTATATTTTTCGTGTGATAATTTAGATTACATACAACAGGCCACGTTAGCGCAGCTGATAGGAGGCTCGCTTTCAAATATATATATATTATGCATGTTATCTAAAGGTAAAAAACGGTAAAGTGGGAAGATGTGAAGCAGCGTCATTGCACATGGTTATAAACCATAAGTGCTCTGCCACTAGTACAGACAGCTGAAAAGAAACTGTCCGCCTGTGTCGCCATCCGCACGCAACTCCGTAGCTACAGCGACGTTCCTCCATTTACCTCAGAGCGTTAACTCTGGTACCCATATCCTAGATGTTGAGTGAACCCCGAGGAACCGCCCGGTTTCGAGCTCCAGCTGTGGGCTGCAGCGAGTCGCAGCTGGATTTGAAAGCGAGCCTCCTATCGCCTGCGCTAACGCGGCCTGTTGTATGTAATCTAAATTATCACACGAAAAATTTACAATTTATCAACAATTTCTGGTAACAATATTTATATGTTTTAAAAAGAACGCCGCATTCTAAATAATCTCACATGACATACACAGAGTTATTAATTTATACACTTAGCAAAATGGATTCAATTTCGTCAAGAGAGATTATGGATGCCGTTTTATCAACATTTTTGCCGTAACATTTATGCTCCCTTTCTGCATAGACAGTTTATGAGGTATAGTAATATAGTGATTAGAAATGGCATGCAATAATTGTCAATGAAATGCCGAATTTCATTTTGTCAGTGTTCATCCCTAATATGGCTGGCCGTAGAGTGGGTAATTTGTCAATTTAAACTTCAAAATAAACAACAAACCAGCGGTTTCATAAAATCATTTACTGCTTAGTTTTTTATTTTCTATTTTTTTTAATATAAAGCAAACAGATGACTGTTAATTTATTACTTTAATTATTTGTTAATTCTGAGTAATGGTAAAAATTTTATTTAAAAAAACCTCTTTTTGAAAAAAAAAATGTCCATTAACGAGAAACAAAAATTTTTATGGATTTAATGTGACGTCAAAAAAAGCAGGCGCATATAAACGTTTTGCTATGCTGAAAATTAGTTTTTGTTAGAAAAAAAAAATTCTATCCAAACTGCCTCAGTCAGTTGCTAATACAATCAATTTAAAGACTGCGTGTACGTAAAAAACCAGCGAATCATCTGCTAATTCCTGCTTTCTTTTTTTAGCTGTCTGGGCTTTGAAATCTCGCTAGACCCTTTTCTGTCCAACTTGCCAGTTGTGTTGGACTATTTTACATTCGTGCTGATACTTTTTTAGCTGGTAATGTCCCGCAGTTCTTATGAGGACTTTCTATATCTTAGAGTAATAATTAAAAAAAGGAATTCTCCCAAATTCATTCGTGAAGTTATTTATAGAAATGTATTAAAGCCGACTGAAACATTCTATCAGATGACACACAGATGGCCATAACAAATAAAAGTTTTATTTTCTTCTTCTTCTTCTTCTTTCCTTCTTCATCTTCTTCTTCTTCTTCTTCTTCTTCTTCTTCTTCTTCTTCTTCTTCTTCTTCTTCTTGTTCTTCTTCTTGTTCTTCTTCTTGTTCTTCTTCTACTTCTTCTTCTTCTCCTTCTTCTTCTTCTTCTTCTTTTTCTTCTTCTTCTTCTTCTTCTTCTTCTTCTTCTTCTTCTTCTTCTTCTTCTTCTTCTTCTTCTTCTTCTTCTTCTTCTTCTTCTTCTTCTTCTTCTTCTTGTTCTTCTTCTACTTCTTGTTTTCTTTTTCTTCTTCTTCTTCTCCTTCTTCTTCATCTTCTTCATCTTTTTCTTCTTCTTCTTCTTCTTCTTCTTCTTCTTCTTCTTCTTCTTCTTCTTCTTCTACTTCTTTTTCTCTTTTTCTTCTTCTTCTTCTTCTTCTTCTTCTTCTTCTTCTTCTTCTTCTTCTTCTTCTTCTTCTTCTTCTTCTTCTTCTTCTTCTTCTTCTTCTTCTTCTTCTTCTTCTTCTTTTTTTTGTTCTTCTTCTTCTTCTTCTTCTTCTTCTTCTTCTTCTTCTTCTTCTTCTTCTTCTTCTTCTTCTTCTTCTTCTTCTTCTTCTTCTTCTTCTTCTTCTTCTTCTTCTTCTTCTACTTATATGTCTTCATCATCGTCATAATCCTATCATCTTGCGTCTTCTCTCCTCGTCTTCCTCCACCTTCTCCTCCATCCTCCGTGGCCAGATCAAAAGCAAATATCTGCAATAATGACTAAACAAATGTCGTTTGATATATGATGATGGAGTTAACTTGGTTATATTATCATCTGGCTGGTTTCCCAGTAGGTTTCGCTTTGTGTAGACATTTATCTATGTATTCTTCCACTTCTTCTGTTGATAAGACCCCGAATTAAACCTGTTTCTATATTCCGGATCTGCCGTTGAAGTGCCACTCTTATTTATCTTATTTTATGGTCAGAGGTGTCGAAACAATGTGGCTGTTCTGTATTACTGAATAATGATCAACATCATAGTACATTGGGCATACACGTTGATGCTCCGTCTCCCGCAGCAAACATCTTAAGGTGTAGATGCTAACTGTTCCTGCAGCACATTGATTATATACATTTATATTATATTTCTCTCATGCGTCCCTCCCTGCCGGATCCACTCGTAATGTCTAGACTGGCACTATTAACCATGGGACGCTGTTGCATGAGTTAGAAGAGAAAGGGTTGAAAAAAAAAGGCGGGTGGGGGAGGGGGTGGGGTGGGGTTGAGTGCCATTGGAGGTGTCCAGAGATCAAACCAACTCTTGAAATGTTACTCGGCATTGTTTGTGTGTGTGTGTGTGTGTGGGGGGGGGGGGGGGGGGGGGGGGGGGGGGGGTGTTAGCATAGTCCCATTACAAATTTGTTTATGTCAAATGTTAAACCAGATAGTTTCCTAAATGAAAATGGAAGATAATGTTTATTACCAGTGGTCAATAATACACTCACCCAGGGAGAATACATTATTATTATTTATTGAGGTGAATTATTTAAAAGTGTTGTCTAGTAAGTCAGTGTGTGTGTGTCTGTGTGTGTGTGTGTGTGTGTGTGCGTGTGTGGTTGAGCATAGTCGCATTACAAATTTGTTTATATCATATGTTATACTAGATAATGTCCTAAATGTAAATGGGAGGTAATGTTTATTACCAGTGGTCAATAATACACTCAACCGGGGAGAATATATTATTATTATTTACTGAGGTGAATCTTTTGAAAGCGAGTGTTGTCTAGTAAGTCAGTGTGTGTGTGTGTGTGTGTGTGTTTGTGTGTGTGGTGTGTTGGTGTGGGGATGTCGAGGTGGGGGTGGTAGGGATGTG